GCCCGGCCCGGCCCGCGCCGCCCCGCCCCCGGTCCGCGCCGCCGCTGTTCCGCTGGAGGCCTCGCGCAACTGGCTTGAATCCGGTGAGTGCATCCGTCCCGGCCTGGCGCCCGCCTCTAGGCTGTCTGGGGTGGTGCTCATTCTCCCGACGCCCAAGCGCGAGTGTGGGTGGAGCAAGATCCGGATGGGGGGAACCACAGGACTCGGGCTGGGAGCGTTGGTGCACCCCGGCCCGGACCAGAAAGCGCTGGTGGCCGCTGGTCCCGGGACGCGCGTGGGCGCGCTCTCCGATCCCCGGCACGCGGGTTTGGCGCCGCTCAGATCCGGGGTTGGGGTCTGGAGGGGCCTAGGCACTGAGAGAAGCCACGTGCTCGGCCGGTGGTCTCGAGACTGGACGAGCACACGAAAGTTCGCAGGTTTCGCAGCGAGCGTGATGCCCGCTTTCGCCCTCGTGGCCGGCGGTCTGGGAGCGCGGCCACCACGTGGGCTGTGCTCCCAGGCGGGCCTAAGAGCCCCGCGCTTTACCGCAGGGAAACCTGAAGTTCGGGCAGAGACAGCTGCCTTTTTCTCGCCCCACCCTGACTTTAAAATGACAGCCTTCCTTCCCAGTCATTCTTTCGTCACTGAATATTTCTAGAACAGGTCCCCGACTGCTGTTGGGTCATCCATCGGGTTAATGAGATCAGGTTGGTGGTTCACTGTGTTTTCAGGAAGTGTTGGCTTGGGGATCACAGACTTCCGCTATCTCCAGTGCGTGCCTGCGTGAGTGGTCAGTCATGTCCGACTCTTTGCGACCCCATAGGCTGAATCCACCAGGCTCCTCTGCCCATGGTTTCTGCAGGCAAGAATACTGGAGTGGGTAGCCATTCCCTTCTCCAAGGTATCTTCCCAACCCAGGGATGGAACCTGGATCTCCTGCATTAGCAGGCAGACTCTTTACCGCTGCGCCATCTGGGAAGCCTCCTGACTACTCCGAAAATCAGCTGTCAATTCGGCGCCAGGCCTTTGATTTCACTGGGCTCATCTTTAAGTGGAAAAACCTGATTTATCAAGCTTCCACCATTGCTTGGATAGTTTTGGTCCTCAGCCCCCATCCATTGTAACAAGTCATGATTACTGAAATATATTAATGAGGTTCCATCCATTATTTCTAAGATAGAACTGAAATGATAAGTGCCAATCACTGCTTTAGGTCAATAGGAGAACTGCTTTTCCCTGTCTGTCTTGGTAAACATCCCTCCAGAGAAATCTTTTAGATTGGCCTAGGCAGCCTTGTTACAGGTGATGATTTATCATTTCTGTCAGCTTNGCTCCCAGAAATGCTAACTAAATAGACTTGATAAGGGGCCCAGAAATTTGCATACTAACAAGCTTTCCTGGTGATTTGACTACAGTCTGTAAGACAGAGGATGAGATGGCTGGATGGCATCACCGACTCGATGGACATGAGTTTGAGTAAACTCCGGGAGTTGTTGATGGACAAAGAGGCCTGGCGTGCTGCGATTCATGGGGTCGCAAAGAGTCGGACACGACCGAGTGACTGAACTGAACTGTAAAACTCAGCTCTGGAGATTAAGACACACTTCCGTCTCCTGGTTGGTGCCTCTCAGCTCTGAGAGGACTGGACTACCCAAGCTTGAGCTGCTATCATAAGAATAATCCCCACTGAACAAACCATCTGTTTTCCCCAACTCTGTTTTATGTAAGGCTTTTGAGATTTTTTTGCCTCCAAAATTGTATCCAAAAGGTGAAAAAGGTGAAAAAAATATGCACTCAGCAAGTGTTTGAGGACCCCCTTACGTGCCCCGCTCTGTACTAGCTCTGGGAATGTGCAGATAGATGTCCTGCCTGAAGACTTCTGGTCAGTGACTATTACCATAGAAGAGAACGTTAGGGCACCTAAAAATATAGATTTTGTCTGTGTTTGCTGGTTGTAGAATGGGTATCAATATTGATTTTCTTGTGGAGTTTAATCCTTCTAATTGTTTAGATTAGTGGCTGTGTTTCATCTGTGGGCAGTTAGTAAAATATGAACTTTGAATCTTTTCTTTTGATTTAATATTTTTATACTTTAATGCTATGCTGCTGCTAAGTCGCTTCAGTTGTATCCGACCCTTTGCGTTCCCATGAAGTGTAGCCCACCAGGCTCCTCTGTCCACGGGATTCTCCAGGCAAGAATACTGGAGTGGGTTGCCATGTCCCCCTCCAAGGGATCTTCACAACCCCAGGGATCGAACCTGCCTTGGCAGATGGGTTCCTTACCACTAGCACCACCCGGGAAGCCTCTAATGCTGTAGTCAACTCAAATTGGAAACAGATGCTTTTTAAATGCTGGCTTTTTTTTCTCTTGTAGCTTTATAAAAATATTTACTCTTAACTTCTGTTTGGGTGGTCTGTGAGGTTTAGAGGCAGGCTTGTGTTGGCTGTATTTTTCCAAAGTATTCTCTTGTTTAGTTCCTATATTTCTTTCAAGGCACACCTTTTTTTTTTTAACTTTTTGCTCCTGAAATTGTGATAGAGCTTACTATTTTTGTGTGTTTAATGTGGTGGAGTATGTCATCTGTTCTCCTCTCGACCTCCCACAAGCTGTTAAAAAGAATGGTTGTCTTACAATATGGGTAATGTGAGAATCAGAGAAATAGTAAGTTTCTATTAGTAAGCCTAGTAACCTCTAAGCTAGGTTCCAATTAACTGAGCCTCAAATCATTTCAATATGAACACAGAGAAACAATAAATGATGTAAGTTTTGGCAGTAAAAGTAGTGAAATTCATATTCTAACAAAAGCATTTGTTATGCACTGTTGGGATTTATTTTGTTACTGATTGTGGATGGGAAAAATGCTTCAAGTGATCTTATTTTTTGGCTGAAGTATTCTGCACACTTTGTTTCACCACACTTTCTAGTGAATATGCTTATACTGTGTTCGTATATTGTGCTTAAACAAAACAAACCTTTTGTTTACATCTTCTTGCTGCTTGCATTCCTTAAATAAATTTTAAAGTGACCAATTGTGAGGGATAAGAAATGTGTGGCTGAATATGACATTGCTTTTTCATTACTGAGTACCTTTAATGACTCAGACCTTCTGAGGCAGCCTAACAGTTTTTAACAATTAAATATGAACAGTATGTCAGGGGTCCCTGAACCATCCCCTGGGCCAGTGGTTTGCTAGGACTCACAGCTAATTTATTATAGCAAGTGGAGACCAAGCGGCTGCAGCAGCTAGTCGTGACAGCACGTGTGAAATGCTGCCAGCCAGGGGAGCTCATTAGATGTTCAGTGTCCGGGGGCTTTTACTGGGGGCTCATCATGTAGATACCTCTGCCTGGCCTATCATCACATATCATCACACTGTTTGTCCAAAGAGCGTAGTCACAGTGAGTCCTCTTTTCAGCTAGTGGTGTTAGGAACACTTCTGAAATCGAGGTTCCCAGCCCAGACATCTGCACATGCTGACTTTCAGGGGATAGTGCATACGTGCATGTTCAGTCGTGTCCAACTCTTCGGAACCCATGGACTGCGGCCTGCCAGGCTCCTCTGTCCATGGAATTTTCCAAGCAAGAATACTGTAGTGGGTTGCCGTTCCCTCCTCCAGGGATCTTCCCAATCCAGGGATTGAACCTGGGTCTCCCACATTGCAGGCGAATTCTTTCCCACCGAGGCACCAGGGAAGTCCTCAACGGGTGGTAGGTAGCTTAAAAGCAGTGCTCTTCACCCAGTCTGTTTTCACTTGTCCTTGTATTTCTACCTCACTTCTGGGCTCCAAGTAGCAGCAGTACTTTGTCTTATCAAAGTTGTGATTCTTCAGTTGAGAAAGCAAACTGATCTGTTTAACTTAAAAAGAATAGGAAGGTTCCCCCGCCCCCCTCCAGGAAAAACGCTTAAGCCCTTACTCTTCCATGCAAGCTTTTAGTATCAATTTGTATTGTAAACACTTGGTCCTGTGTTTCCTATCAAAACCACTTGATCTTTTGAAGGAACTGTTTGTGGGCACAAAATTTAGAAGCTAAAATGAGGCCACTAGTGAGTTCTACACAGTAGTGCCTCCTTACCCACGGCTGATAATGTTTTAAGGTCCCCCAAAGATGCCTGAAACCATGGGTGGCAATGAAGTCTATATGAACTGTGCATTTTCCCTGTTCATAGATAGCTATAATAAACTTTAACTTATGAATCAGGCACGGTAAGAGAATATCCGAATTGCCAGCATCATTACTCGTGCACTTTGGGGCCATTATCAAGTAAAATGAGGGTCATGTGAGCACAAGCTTGATACTGAGGCAGTCGATCTGATCAGCAGGATGGCCACTGAGTGACTAATGGGTTCATACACTAGACAAAGGGATTAACTCTAAGTTTATTTTCTAGATTTATCCTGAATTTATCAATTATAAGTTTGTAGATTATTGTTGCAGTGTGTAACGTGTTCGGGTATGTACTTCCCAGACCAGACCATTAATTCTTCTCAGCCCACAGTGTAGCTGAAATATGGCTTAGTTATCATGACAGAAGAGCAGAAAATTCTTGATAGCCCTACAACATAGGAAAGCATAACATTTATAAATAAATTACCAGTCTTTGGGAAAAACTTTTTTTTTTTTTTAATAAGCACAATGCTTCTTAATCTTTTTTGGGGGATGGGGGCTTTTTTAAGAATCTGGTAAAAGCAGTGGACCCTCTCCCCCAGAAATAAAGGTGCTTAAAATAGAGTTTTGCTGTTTCAGGGAACTCCTGTAGTTGAAGTGTTATTCTTGAAATCCAGATGAAGGGCCCCTGTGTGTAAATGTGACAACAGCTGTGGCTTGGTCTTGCTGTCCGAAGGTCGATCTTCTTGCTACTCAAGTGTGGTCTGTGACCCAGCATCACTACCTGTGGGCTTGCTGAAGATGCAGAATCTCAGTCCCGCCTGAGACCTGTGCTCCCCGGGGATGTGTGCGCACCTGGAGGGGGGAGGGCTGCGTTGGACGTTAATGATGTTGCCATTTTAGTATGCCTTATTTTAGTTAAAAAGTTACAACTTTTTAAAAGCCGTGGGATATGACTGTCTTTACCCTTCCCTTTCAGTGTCTAATTTTTTGTTTTATTTTTTAATGGGATGTTTCTGATGAAGTGGCAATTTTCAGGAGTGAGCGGAGGTTTGAAGTGAGGATGGGTCCAGGTGCCTGAGGACTTGGGAGCGGCCAGTGCCTCGCTCTCGCCAGCAGGTGGCGCCACTGGCCCAGGTGGCCCGCGGGACAGCGGCCAAGGGCGGGGCGGTGGCTAGGAGCGCTTGGCTGTGGGCGGCTCTTGATTGAGTCAAGTGTTTATGACTCGGTTGCATCTAATTAGATTTGGGACCTGGTGCTGATTAAAGCCAAATTTTAAGATTGACTTTGCTGTGTCAATGGCCACAGGCCAAAACCGTGACTAGAAACTGCTGAGATAGTTGCATCATTTAACTTGGGCTAATTATGCCTCAATAAGTAATGAATTCCATGACTTAGTGCTTGGGTGCAAGGAAGCAGGCTTCCCTTTCTCTGTGCTCTGCGTGGTGTCTGAGGCCGAATCATACCCTGGAAGAAATGGTCTTGGCTTCAGGTTGTATGTTGATCCTGGAGGAAGCGGCCTTGAGTTCGGAGGAATGCACACGAAGGGCCTACGAGTCGTCGGTCGCGTGTACGTGGTCCTCTGACACTGGCCCCGGGAAAACCTAAACACATGGGTCTTGTTCTGACAGGTTTGCATTTCCTCACTGCCTTGCCTTGAAGACAGCGATGCCAAAGAAAGCAAGGCCTGCAGGGGATGGGGAGGAAGAAGGGCCTGTTCCTAAGCAGGCGAAGGTGGAGGCAGCCTGTGGCCCTTCTTCCCCTTTGGACTTCGACAGCCCCAGTGGCCTCTTCGAAAGTTTCATCGCGCCCATCAAGACAGAGACGTTTTTCAAGGAATTTTGGGAGCAGAAACCCCTCCTCATCCAGAGAGACGACCCTGCGTTGGCCATGTACTACCAGTCCCTGTTCAGGCTCTCTGATCTGAAGAGTCTGTGCAGCCGGGGGATGTACTACGGGAGAGACGTGAACGTCTGCCGCTGTGTCCACGGGAAGAAGAAGGTTTTAAATAAAGATGGCAGAGTGCACTTTCTCCAGCTGAGAAAAGATTTTGATCAGAAAAGGGCCACAATTCAGTTTCACCAACCTCAGAGATTTAAGGTAACAGGCTCTCCCAGGGGCAGAGTCCTCGTGTGTATCAAAGTACTAACATTTGGCCACGGATCAGCTCAGGGGTAAATCCGTTTTGGTGATGATTAGTCTCCTGCCAGTTTCACAAGGGCCAGCACCTGTTTGGTCTTCAAATGCATTCCAACTTCAGTGATTTTTTTTTTTTTTAATGTTCCCTTTTGGTTGAACGGTTAGAATCTGCAACAGCTCAGGGTGGACACGGTTCGCTGTCATTGAGCTGCAAAAAGTAAATTATATTGCAGGTTTATAAAGTTTGTTAAAGTGACATTACACCTCCAGGAGTATTTCTGTGGGCTGGGTTTTGTTTTGATCCATAGTGGACATTTCTTTTTGGATTGTTTCCTCACCGTAATGTAAGGCATGATAGCATCAAGGTGCTCATTTTATTCTTGAAGTTGGCTCCCTCTGCTGCCCACATCTTGTTAGCAGAGGCTTCCAAGCAGTGACCAGACCATGTACTAGACCATTTATGGAAGAGACTTCACCCTTGTTGACAGCCCCACCAGGCTGGCTCTGAGAGTAGGTCCTGGAACTCCTGAGATGGGTGGGGGTCAGTCGTGGAGGGTAGCTTGGATTTCACTACTGACTAACCTTTTATTTATTCTTTATCAGTGATTGACATTTGAGAAATAATCTGCTTCTGTGCCCAGTCTCTGCGTTTATAAAACGTGGATTTAGGATGAGCTAATCTGCTCTCTTAGTTGTTTAGTCGCTAAGTTGTGTGTCTGACTCTTTGTTGTTGCGACCCATGGCCTACAGCACTCCAGGCTTCCCCGTCCTTCGCTGTGTCCTAGAGTTTGCTCAGACTCATGTCTGCTGAGTCGGTGATGCCGTCCAATCATCTCATCCTCTGTTGCTCCCTCTCCTCCTGCCTTCATCTTTCCCAGCATCAGGGTCTTTTCTAATGAGTCAGCTCTTCCCATCAGGTGGCCCAAAGTATTGGAGCTTCAGCTTCAGCATCAGTTCTTCCAATGAATATTCAGGGTTGATTTCCTTTAGGATTGTCTGGGTTGATCTCCTTGCAGTCCAAGGGACTCTCAGCATTCTAATCCAGCACCATAATTTGAAAGCATCTCTTAGATGTTTGAGATTTTTACAGGACAGCTGTGCAACAATTGAAGGCCCTTTCTGAGTTTTAGGAAAAAAAGTCTTATCCCCGTCCAGAAATCCCCCCCTGTGACCCTTAGCTGAGTCAGAATGCCAGCTTTGAGGAGGAGGAGAGCAGCGTGTCCGGTCCCACACTGAGGTGGCTTCTGGCTGCGTGGCAGCTCCTTGGACTCTGTCATCAGAGCTCTAGTAATGCTTGTCATTATAGATCTTGAGGTGCCTTATTAGATCCATTAGGCCTCCCTCATCTGCGAATGCCTTTCCCTTGTCTGTAGGATTTTGTACTATTTGTATTCTGGATAAAGTACAAGTACTCTTAGACTTTTCAGTACAGGTCCTCATTCCAGATGGTCCATCTTGGGCAGTCATGAGCCGCTGAAATGTCCCTGGGATGCCACCCTTTTGGGCATTCTACCTGAAAGGGATTTATAAATCGCTTACAGACCAAGTCATGATTTGCATTCAGAAAATCTGTACATTGTGGTACTTCCCTCTGAGCTAGTCCTTGACTCTTTGCTTGGCTAGAAGTAGCACTTAAAAAAAAAAACGTAGTTTTTAGATACTGAAGAACTATGAATAGAAAAGATCAGTGATGCTGATTACATGTAATTTGTTCGCAGACCAGTAGAAAATTATTGTTTGGCATGTACGTGGCATCCTCTGTGGCTATCATTTTCTGTTTAAGTGCTGCACACTTCTCTTCCCCAGTTTCAAGTGGCCAGGACTGTTTCCTTTGCCCTGTTGACTCAGCTCTTTAAGTCATGTTTCTTAAAGCAGGAAGGATGAGCTCTCCCAGTTTCAACTCAGCCCCCAGGCTAGGCTGATTATTTGTGGGGTGCTTTTTTTAATTATTTACTTTATTTTTGGCTCCGCTGGTTCTGCGTGGCGATGCAGGCTTTTGTCTCATTGCAGTGGGTGGCGGCTTCTCGCAGCGAGAGGGCTTCTCATTGTGGCGGCATCCTGATTATTTGTGGGGTGCTTTTTTTAATTATTTACTTTATTTTTGGCTCCGCTGGTTCTGCGTGGCGATGCAGGCTTTTGTCTCGTTGCAGTGGGTGGCGGTTTCTCTTTCTTGCAGCGCGAGGGCTTCTCATTGTGGCGGCTTCTCTTGTTGTAGAACATGGGTCCTAGGGCACATGCTTCAGCAGTTGTGGCTCCAGGCCCCAGAGCACAGGCTCAGTGGCTGTGATGCCCAAGCTTAGTCGCTCTGCGGCACATGGGACCTCCCCGGATCAGGGATGGAACCCATGTCTCCTGCATTGGCAGGCAGATTCTTTACTACTGAGCTACCAGGGAAGCCCCGTTTGTGGGTTTTTTTTTCCCCTCTGACCTTCCACCACCAGAACTTGAGAAATCTATAAACTGCTGGAGTTCACTCTCTACACAGGAAGCTGGGTTCTGAGTATTATAATGTGAGCAGATTTAGTGTTGTGTGTGTTTACTAGTGGACATACTGATATCAGGATAGAGAAGTCTAGAGGCAGTTCCTCATTGTCTGGGTTGAAGGACTCGGAATCAGCACTTTCTCAGTCATGCCACAGAATGGGCACAGCTTATGAGTCTAGTTAGTCTGGAAATGAGTGAAGCGGTAACCAGAGAGTCCCCACCTGCTTTGGGTTATCTGTGTATCAGGAGTCCAGATGAGTTAACCAAACATTTACACATGTTCAGTTTTGAATCTTCCAACACACATTTGAAATAACTGAGGCCGTCACTGTGGTCTCCACTTTACATGAAAGAAATGAGTTCACAGTTGTGACTTACACAGCTAGGAAGGAAAGACTTCTAACTGCAGAATTAAAACCTGTTCCGAACCATGTATCTAAAGATCCTCCCTGAAATGGAGTTGGGCTTTTGGCATGCTTGTTTTCACCTTTCTTTAGGTGTTAATGTGGGCTTCTGGTCTTGACCATTGTATCCAGCTGATTCTGCAGGAAGGTCGGTGCAGAGGAGAGGGCCTCCCCCGCTCGCCTTTCCGTCGTTCTGGGGTCCTCCTTGGGCAGCTCCAGACACAGCTGGGGGACCAGGGTCAAAGGAGATAGGTTTCAGGAGCCTTGTTTGTGCCTAAGTCAGCGCTGTGACGCTGTGACACTCATACACTGTTGTACAGTTGAAACAGAATTTGAGATAGTTTTACGCTGTTTCCACAGTCTTCAAGTGGGAGTCCTCCTTTCACGGATGAAGAAGTTGAAGTCATCTAGCTTGTAACTACAACCTGAACTGAGACGGGTTGACTCCAGATCTCTTTCTAGTGGGCCACACTTGGCAGATTGAGAATCTAAAAGTGAAGTGAAAAACTTGTATAAATGATAGGGTTTTCTGTAACCTTTAAGAAGAAGGAGACATGTGCTTCTTAATTGTAGACCCAGAAACTTCAGCTGGGAGCCATAAAGACACCCATATGGGACTCAGGCCATCAGCGATAGATGCAGAGAGAGCCAGTTACTGTACAAATGTGATTACACATCCTGCTGGCCGCTCCCAGGTGAACATTAGATTGCTTGGGAGAGCTGCGAACTTTTTGGAGCTCTTCAGGTGCCATTAAATTATTCTTCTTGTGTTAAACAGAAACCTTGAGCTCTATATGTAGAGTAGCTCAACGGCTTATATGGAAATGTCTCCCAAAGCTTGTTTAATGCTGACCCAGTTCTTTCCCACTTGGTATTTTTAATTTTTTTTTTTTTTTTCATTCCAGTAGGTAAGATTGACTTCTAAGCCATGGCCATTGTTTACTCAGCAAATCCTTTCAATATCTTCTGTGTGCCAGGCACTGCATGTGTGGATGCTTAAAAGTTGGGCTTCTGCAGTGTTCTTTGCAGGCGATTTTTCTTTGCAGTAGCGTCGTGGTTATGGGGGTGGGCTCCTTAGCTAGACTGCATGAACGTGAACCCTGGATCCACCGTTGGCAGGCCTCCTTCCTCGTCGGCGTGGATGGGCACCCACAGGGTGATGGTACCCACCCCGAGGGAGGGTTGCTGGGAGGGCCGTGTCACCGAAGTAGGTGAAGCCTGGCGCACAGAAAGTGCGGATCCCCACGCGGCAGGCTCTGCCTGTCTTCCCCCCTGCCTGGGACAATCAAGTTTCCTTCCCGCAGGAGTATGTGGCTCCTGGCTGGGTCCCTCAGTCTGACGGGGGTCCTGGAGAGCTAGTTAGTGACCGGAGAGAGGGGAGTGTTCCTCGCCCCCCGCCCGCTGCCTGGCCCCCTTCCCAGCTGGTCATTTCGGCCCCCTTTGCTCTCAGGACCCTTTCGTCAGGCAGTTCCCAGACCCACACCCGTCATCTTGCCTGAACTTCAGACCTAGCCAGCCGGCACACGGGGGTCTTAGCTGCTCATATGTAGCATGTTTTTTCCCCCCGAACTCATTCTTTAGCAGATCTTTCCCACTTGAGTGGTGCTGGGAGCTAACTGCCTTCGACAGAACCCCCAGAGTATCTCCCTCTCAGCCTGCCCACTCCCAGGCCGCTGCCATCAGGGCGCCCTGCGGGGCTGCCCGCCAGGCACACCCTGACTTTCACTCTTCTCCCTCGTCTCCCGCACTCCGATCATCCCCGCCTGCGCTGTTGCGTCTGTCGCTTCCCCACCTCTGCCCCGGGCTTTTTCCCACAGTCCGGTCTCCTCCCCGCGGTAGCCAGGCGGCCCTTCCGTAAGTGTGAATGGGGTCGTGTGTCGTCTGGTTGAAGTCCTCTGTGGCTCCCTGTCACCTCCGCCTGGCCGTGCTCGCGACAGAAGGCCCCTGAGGGCAGAGGTGCGGCTCGGTCACCGCCGGGCCTCCAGGTGGCGCTAGCGGTAAAGACCCCGCCTGCCAGTGGCAACCCCCTCCAGTCCTCCTGCCTGGAGAAGCCCACGGACGGAGGAGCCTGGGGGGCTGCGGTCCACGGGGTCGCGAAGAGTCAGACACGATGGAGCGACTTCCCTTTCACTTTTCACTTGCACGCACTGGAGAAGGAAATGGCACCCCACTCCAGTGTTCTTCCCTGGAGAATCCCAGGGACGGCGGAGCCTGGTGGGCTGCCGTCTGTGGGGTCGCACAGAGTCTGACACGACTGAAGCGACTCAGCACAGCATAATAGCTGTGCAGTAAAACTTGCTGAGCGGACAGGAACAGGCTCCTTCCTCCTGACGCGTTTCCCTCTCCCCCTCCCTCCGCTGTGGCTTCTTGAGGACGCGCTCTGGAGGATCCAGGAGAAGTTGGAGTGCTTCTTCGGCTCCTTGGTGGGCTCCAACGTGTATATCACCCCGGCGGGAGCCCAGGGCCTGCCGCCCCACTACGATGACGTCGAGGTGAGAGGGGGATCTGCCCGGCCACTGGGCGAGGGGGTGGCCGCCAGCCCGGGGAGGTGGGGTTGTCAGGGCTGAGCGCTCGGTCCATCAGGTCCGGGCCCACCCTTCCTGTGTGGGCTCCAGAGAGCCTGACCTCCCTCACCGGGATGTTGGACCAAAATTAACCCCACTGAACTGGTTTCCTGCTCCTTTGGGAAGGGGAGAGATGGTTTATTTACAAATATAAAGAGCTGCACATTCCTCCGAAACATGTATTAATTGAATTTTCTACAGAGACGTGTGATTGGATTTTTTTTTTCTTTTAATTTCACAGTTTAATAAGGCGAGGTCACAAGTGTTCCGTACATCTGCTTTTATTTTGTCCTTTTTCTGTAGCTGCCAAAAATATATGCTTTTTTCCATTTGTGAAAATCTTGGGGCCGCTTAAATGAAGGTCATGGTTTCGCTTAAGCACTGGCGCCTTGGCGGATGTTGATTTCACTGTCGTCTTGCTGCCAAGAAAAGTTAACTCTTGGGCTTAGGTATGTCGTAGTTTTATTTTTGTACTGATGCATTCTGTGAACACACAGATAGTAGGAAATAAAAACCTCTTTTTCCTCTTGAGAGCAATTTGATATCAATCCATTTTCCAAAAGTTTTTTTTTTTTCCTTTAATATTTCTGACAGGAGTTTAAAACATCTTTGGTTGAATGAAGAATAAAAACTTGACATTTTCCTGTGTGCCAGGGATTATCTTCAGGGTTTTGGACACTCAGTAATATCTGAAGCTTGGCTTTTCCCTCAGAGATTATGGGCTTCCTGCTGTCTGATGGAAGATTTAGAGGCATGAATAGTGGGATAGATCATGGGATATAAAGAACTCAGCGAGGCTTTTAGGGAAGTGAAAGGAATGACCAGACTTCCAGTGTCAGAGTTCACGGTCACCTGTTTTTAAAAAGTGAATGCCAGTGGTGGCAGCTTTTAAGTGTGGAGCGAGATGTATCTGTGACCTTTACTTTTATTGTTTTATATCAGAGCTGTGATTTGGTTGAGCCCTGGGAGGGCCAGCGCCCCAGAAGCCTCGTGAGCAGCGTGGGGCTCTCTGACACTCCGGGGTCCTGTGTTCCCTGTAGGTGTTCGTCCTGCAGCTGGAGGGAGAGAAACGCTGGCGTCTGTACCAGCCGACGGTGCCTCTGGCGCGTGAGTACAGCCTGGAGGCCGAGGACAGGATCGGGAGGCCCACACACGAGTTCACACTCAAGGTACGGGCCTGCCAGCGTGCGCGCCAAGCTGGGCTTGAGGTTTGCGTTTGTGTAACGGTCCCCCGGGAATGTGTCCAGGAGTTTGGGGGCTCCCATTCCAGGTGGCCCCTCGGGGGGGGCCTTGGAAGGAGACCTAGTAGTTTATACTTGCAGATGTGAGCTGAGGAAGCGTCTCCATATGCTGAGTCCAAAAGGAATGAATCATGAATATGGTAACCACTGAGTTTTCTGGAGTGAAAGTGGAAGGCATGGCCTTGGGCAGCTTCTCCAGATCTAAGGCAGTGGTCACCGCTGGGTGGTAGGTTGCTTGAGGAGAGCACGGTCAGCGACCCCTCAGTTTTTCTTGCTGGTAAAATTCGGGCACCCCATTTTCCTCCTGACTGCAGTAGACCCTTTGCACCCCTTTCCTCCTGCATGTATTGGTCAGAAGGGTCATCATGAAGGCTCTTGAGGGGACCTTCCCCAGATAACCAGGCGGCCCGAGCATGTGCTGGTTCGCTGGCATCTTGCTGCTGAGAAAGTGTGTCCTTGAGCAGTTAGCTGGGTGGGATCACAGCCAGTCACCAGCAGGTCAGGGTGTTGAGAGCAAAGTCTAGGATAAGAATAGCAAAGTCTAGGATAACTGCGTAACTCAGTTTTACAACTTTTCCTACAAAACTTAATTTCAACAAAATTTAATTTCCTTCAGTGGTAATAAGATAATAGTTAATTTAAATCATTCCAAAGATTTTAACCAAACTGATGGACTTGCATATGGTTGTTTTTGTAGTTCTTACATCTTGAATTTACACTTGGTATCTAATTCTTTTTTTTTTCGTTTTAAATTATTTACTTTTGGCTGCACTGGGTCTTCATCACTTTGTGCTGGCTTTGTCTAGTTCCAGCGAGCGGGGGCCACGCTCTCGTTGCAGTGCATGGGCTTCTCATTGCGGTGGCTTCCCTTGTTGCGGAGCTTGGGCCCCAGGTGCGTGGGCTTCAGTAGCTGGAGCACGTGAGCTCAGTCATTGTGTGGTGCATGGGCTTAGTTGCCTCGCAGAATGTGGGATTGATTCCAGCTTGAGCTTCGTGCAGCCCGGCATTTTGCATGATGTACTCTGCATATGTGTTAAATAAGCAGAGTGACATTATATATAGCCTTGACATAGGGGTTGAAACCGTGTCCCCTGCATTGGCAGGCAAATTCTTAACCATTTTGCCACCAGGGAAGCCCCTCTGATTCTTATTCAGTGTCTTGTGGCTTCTTGATTTTAAAATCTCTGCCTGCCTGCCATAACTGGGGAAAACTCCCTGTTTATGATGATGTCGTTCAGTTGGTCAGTCTTGTCTGATTCTTTGGGACTCCATGAACTGCAGCATACCAGGCTTCCCTGACTCTCTCTTGAGTTTGCTCAAACTTGTGTCCACTGATTCGGTGTTTCCATCCAACCATCTCATCCTCTCCTGCTCTGTCATCCCCTTCTCCTCTGTCTTCTGTCTTTCCCAGCATTAGGGTCTTTTCCAATGAGTCAGCTGTTCACCTCAGGTGGCCAAAGTATTGGAGCTTCAGCATCAGTCTTTCTAATGAATGTTCAGGACTGATCTCCTTTAGGATGGGCTGGTTGGATCTCCTGGCAGTTCAAGGGACTCTGAAGAGTCTTTTCCAACACCACAGTTCAAAAGCATCAATTCTTTGGCGCTCAGCTTTCTTTATGATCCAACTCTCATATCCGTACAAGACTACTGGAAAAACCATAGCTTTGAATATATGAACCTTTGTTGGCAAAGTGATGTCTCTCTTTTTTAATACGCTGTGTAGGTTGATCATAGCTTTTCTTCCAAGGAGCAGGCGTCTTGTAATTTCATGACTGCAGTCACCATCGCAGTGATTTTGGAACCCAAGAAAATAAATTCTGTCACTGTTTCCATTGTTTCCCCATCTATTTGCCATGAAGTGATGGTACCAGATGCCAAGATCTCACTTTTTTGAATGTTGAGTTTTATGCCAGCTTTTTCACTCTTCTCTTTCACGTTCATCAAGAGGCTGTTTAGTTCATCTTCACTTTCTGCCATAAGGGTGGTGTCATATGCATATCTGAGGTTATTGCTATTTCTCCTGGCAATCTTCGATTCCAGCTTGAACCTCATCCAGCCTGACATTTCGCAAGATGTATTCTGCATGTAAGTTAAATAAGCCGAGTGACAATACATAGCCTTGACATATTCCTTTCCCAATTTTGAACCAGTTCTTTCTTCCATGTCCACTTCTAACTGTTGCTTCTTGACCTTCATACAAGTTTCTTAGGAGGCAGGTAATGTCTGGTATTCCCATCTCTAAGAATTTTCCACAGCTTGTTATGATCCACACAGCCAAAGGCTTTAGCGTAGTGAATGAAGTAGAAGTAGATGTTTTTATGGAATTCCTTTGCTTTTTCTGTGATCCAGCGGATGTTGGCAATTTGATCTCTGGTTCCTCTGCCTTTTCTAAATCTACCTTGTACATCTGGAAATTCTCAATTCATGTACTGTTGAAGCCTAATGTGAATGATTTTGACCATTGCCTTGCTAGCTTGTGAGATGAGTACTATTGTGCGGTAGTTTGAATATTCTTTGGTATTGCCTTTCTTTGGGATTGAAATGAAAACTGACCTTTTCCAGTCCCATGGCCACTGCTGAATTTTCCAAATTTGCGGGCATATTGAGTGCAGCTCTTTCACAGCATCATCTTTTAGGACTTGAAATAGCTCAACTGGAATTCCATCACCTCCTCTAGCTTTGTTCGTAGTCACGTTTCCTAAGGCCCACTTCACAAATGTCTGGCTCTAGGTGAGTGATTATACCATCGTGGTTATCCAGGTCATTAAGACCTTTTTTGAACAGTTTTTTCATTCTTGCCACCTCTTCTTAATATCTTTTGCTTCTGTTAGGTCCATACCATTTCTGTGCTTTATTGTGCCCCTTTTGGCATGAAATGTTCCCTTGGTATCTCTAATTTTCTTGAAGAGATCTCTAATCTTTCCCTTTCTATTGTTTTCCTCTATTTCTGCATTGATCACTGAGGAAGGCTTTCTTATCTTTCCTTGCTATTCTTTGGAACTCTGCATTCAGATGGGTTTATCTTTCCCTTTCTCCTTTGCCTTTAACTTCTCTTCTTTTCTCAGCTGTTTGTAAGGCCTCCTCAGACAACCATTTTGCCTTCTTGCATTTATTTTTCTTGGGGATGGTTTTGATCACTGGCTCCTGTACAATATTACAAACTTTTGTCCATAGTTATTCAGGCATTCTGTCCATTCAGGTATGACCTAAATCTAATCCCTTGAATCTATTTGTCAGTTGTACTGTATAATTATAAGGAATCTTATTTAGGTCATACCTGAATGACCTAGTGGTTTTCCCTACTTTCTTCAATTTAAGTCTGAAGTTTGCAATAAGGAGTTCATGATCTGAGTCACAGTTAGCTCCAGGTCTTGTTTTTGCTGACTGTATAGAGCTTCTCCATCTTTGGTTGAAAAGAATATAATCAATCTAATTTTGGTGTTGGCCATCTGGTGATATCCATGTGTAGAGTCTTCTCCTGTGTTGTTGGAAGAGGGTGTTTGCTATGACCAGTGC